AAAAAAAAAAAAAAAAAAAAAAAAAAAAAAAAAAAAAAGAGAGAGAGAGAGAGAAAGAGAAAGAGAAAGAGAAAGAGAAAGAGAAAGATAAAGAGAAAGAGAAAGAGAAAGAGAAAGAGACAGAGACAGAGAAAAAGAGAGAGAGAGAGAAAGAGAGAATGTCGCCCGGAGGGTGGTCGTGTAGGTGGCCATATAAATCATTAAGTTTCTCTTGCGGTTTATACCTCCTGGCGCGCCCCTGGGCGCGCCCATCCCGTCGCCGCCCCCCCCTCCGCAGCCGCCGCGGCGAAAAGAGGCTCCTGGGGGGGGCGCTCGTCGCGCGCGCCCCCCCCCCCCCAAGGCCGCGGCCCGAGCCCCCCCCCCCCTCCCCGCGGCGTGGGATGGCAGCTCACTAAGCTAAGCCTGGGCTCGCGGCAGCTCCGCCGCGGGCCGCGCCGCTGCCGCGCCAGCCAGCCCTCGCGACGGCGCGCGGCAGGCGGCGTCGGACACGGGCGGCGCAGGCGGCGGCGGCGGCGCACTGGCGGGGCCCGCGAGCGGCCTCCTGGGCGTTAGCGCTGGCGGGGGCGCAAGCGGGATGCCCCCCCCCGCCTCAGCCGCGCCTCGCCAGGGCCGCGGCGGCCGCGGGCGCTGAAGGCACTGCCGGCGCCGCAGGCCGTGCAAGGGCCGGCGGCGCGCGGGCTGCCGAGCCTGCGGCGGGGGGCATGGGCGAGTTCGCCTCTGCGCGCGGCGCCGCTCCGAGAAGGCCTGCCGGCGCAGTGGCTAGGAGAGGAGCTGCCCGCGGCAAGGCGCGAGGTGCTCCTGCAGCCAAGGCGGGGGCCGCATTTGCCGCAGGAGAATCGGCGAGCGTGGCCCCTGGGCTGCTTGGAGTCGGCGCGCTCGGAGGCCCTCCTGGCGCCGCTGGCGGTGGAGCACCTCCTGCGGGCGCGCCGCCGCCAGCCCCCGTCGCAGGCGGCCCCGCGGGCGGCTGGGGCGCGCCGCCGCGGGGCGCCGCGGGCGGAGCTGAGCAGCTGGACCTGGCTGGAGGCTGCCCCTGCGGGGCGGCGGCTGGGGGCGCGCTCGGGGCGCCCGATGGGTCGCCCCCGTGCTGCGAGCCATTCGGCATGCCCGCGGCGGCGGCGCCCGCGGGCTGTGGAGGAGGTCATGGGCGTTGGATCTACCCCCCGCTGGCCCCGCGCGCGCTGCTGCAGCTGCAGCTCCACCTTGGGGCGATGCTGGAGATCGCCAGGTGCGACTCGCGGCGCCAGCCCGGCGAGACTGCGGAGCCCCGCATGTCAGGAGCCTGGCCCGCGGACGGCGCAGGCCAGTTCGTGGAGGCGACGGTGGATGCCTGCAGCCAGGCGCACTTCGTGCCCGCGCTGCAGGGCTTCTTCGCCATGGGCGCGCGGGCCCCGCACGCGTGCGCGCAGGCGGTTGAGACCTGCCACCTCGCCACCAAGTGGGCCATCAGGAGCGCGGTGCACTCGGACATGATGAGAGTGAAGGCTGCCACTGGCGAAGGGTTGGGCGCCCCAGCTGCCGCCGCCCTGGCCGACGGCGCGGCCGCTGGAGGCGGTGCCCGGGGAGCCCCTGCTGGTGACGACGGCGCCGCGGCTGGCGCTGGCCCCGCGGGAGGCGTCGCTGGCGGCCCAGCTGCTGCCGATGGAGCTGACGGCGGAGGCGGCGGCGCGCAGACTGAGGAGCAGCTCAGGAGGGCGATCCAGGGGCTGCATGGGCGGCTCAGGCGCATGCGCCATATGGCGGAGTCGTTTGGCGAGAGAGCTGACGCTGCGCTGGAGGGCCTACATAGGCGCCGCCGCGGGGGCCAGAATCGCGACCCCGACGACTCCGACGAATCATTTTTTGACGAGGCCCTACCCGCCTCTTCCAGCCGCCGAGCACACTGCCCAGCACGCTCCGAGCCAGGAGCGCCGATGGCAGCGGACCTGAAGCAAATTCGCGAATACTTGGCGCAGCGGGGCGGGGCCGCCGACTACAACGAGCTGGACAGCCAGATTGCGAACGTGGCGCAGTACGACACATGCGCGCGGAACGAAGCCCATCTTCAGAGCGAGACAGGCGTTCGCCACGCGCACGGGATGAAGATGATGGGCGAGCGCCTGGACACCCTCACTTGTGGAGAGCTGCCGCGCTTGGGCGAGACGCTGATGCAGGGGCTGAACGCCAGCGGGCAGGCAACCAAGGACGGTACTGGCAGGTGGCGCAGCACCTCGAGATGGTGGACTCCACGGACGTCGGGCTGGCCTCGCAGGTAGAGCTGGCGTTGGCCGTGGCAAGCTGCTCGGAGGGCGCCAAACTGGACGTGCGCCTCGGCGAGGCCTGGAGCTCAGGACGTGAACGAAGTGCCGAAGCCGACGGCGTCGCAGAGGGAGGCTCGCCGACGCAAGGGCAGAGGTCGCGGCCGAGGCGCATCAGGACGAAGGACTGGAGCGCCGCCTGCCGCGCCCGAGAGAGCCTAGGAGCCGCGCGCCTCGCGCCGGGCTGCAGGGGCACGCGCCCCGAGCCCCGCGACAAGGGCGCTCAGCACGTCCGAGCCAAGGGGGCCCGCCAGCTATAGACGAGGTAGAGTGCCAAGAGGCTTGTGACTATGTCTTCTCGGACGACGAGCTGCCAGTAATTCGTACCTTTCCACGCCTCGGTGATTTGCGAGGTGCAGGTGTGTTCCAGCGGATGTGTCGTTTAACAAGTCGCAAAGTTGGACACTGCATGATGCATCTTGGGACTGACGTACCACATCGTGATTGTTTTCCGGCGGTGCCTCTGGCTTCAGACTAAGTTTGTCCGCGAGATGACAAGACATGTCATGACTTACTTCAGGCGAGGCCGCTGGCTTCAGATTACGGACATTCTACTGATGGGCGGTCGGCTCATCCCTTACCACTGTCTGCAGGGAGCGGTCGTCGCGACTTGATGGTGGCGTTGGCGGTGGAGGACTACATGAACCTTTGGCTATACTGGGCGGTGCAGACGCTGGGCTTCCAGTCCCGCTTGGGTGGCAAGCACCAGTTGCTGAGGGACGACAGCGCCCGCCGCTTCTTCGGCCTCGCTTGTTTCGCGCAGGCGAAGGCTTCGCGGCATCTGGCGCGGAGCGGGTGTGCTTTCCTGGAGCAGCACAGCGACGAGGTGCCGAACTTGGAGTGGAAGTCGGAGCTCAAGTCGTCGGCGGTCGGTCACACGGGCGAGGAGGTGCACCCCGCCGAGAAGCTCGATAGAGAGCGCCTGATGATCGCCCTGCCGCCCAAGCACGCAGACGGGTCGGTGCTGGCCTCGGAGGCGAGCGGCGGCTGGATCCGAGGTGTGCTGGAAAACCCCGAGTGGGTCCTCAGGAACCCTGATGAGCTGGGCGAGATGCCGAAGACCCTCCTCGTCTGGGAGGAGGGCGCCGTGTGGGAGCTCATCGCCGCCGAGCTGGTGGACCGCAGGATCTTGGGGCCCATCGAGGAGGAGTGCATCGTGCAGGTGAGAGGGCGTCGCGTGCTGGGCGGCTTCTTCAGAGTCCGCAGGTCGGGGCACAGCATGGGCCTGGGTCCGCAGCGCCTCGTGATGACCATCATCCCTAGCAACTGGTTGCAGGAGGCCATCGAGGGCGACGTGGGCCTCGTGCGTCCACGGCCACATGAAAGAGCATCCTCCTGAGGAATGGCGTACTGCCCCCGCCCTCGTCGGAGGAACTGGGGTGGTGCTTCTACGTGTACCCCCTGCCCGAGGTCTGGCACAAGTACATGGCGCTGTCCAAGTTTGTTAGCCGTGATGTGCTGGGCTTGGCTATGGCTGGCAGGGTATTCGCGGCGGCGGCGGCGATCCCCATGGGCTGGATCTCGGAGACGGAGCTCAGCCAGCACATCCGCAGGAGGCTCGTGCGTGAGTGGGTCGCAGGTGCCGAGCTGCTGCCGGTGGAGCAGGAGTTGCGACGCGATCTACCTCTTCCTCCTCATCGTAGGCTGGGCGCGGTGCCCTCAGCCTCGGGGCGGGCCCCGCCGGCGACGCCCTTGGCCTCGGAAAGGGGGCCCGTGCGAGGACAGGCTGGCCGCAGCTACGACGACGGGTGCGTCCCCATCTGCATTGCGTGCCCAGGGCAGGCAGAAGTACGGCTACGCCCCTTCCAAGTGGGCGAACCCCTTCAAGGCATCGCGAGGCATGTCCGGCCGTCCTGCGCTTCGAGACCCACCTGAGAGAGGCTCCTCACCTACCCAATGACATCGGTGAGCTGACGGGTTGCCGTCTTGTGTGCCTCTGCAGGCCAGATCAGATATGCTATGGCGATGTGCTGCCCAAGGCTTGGAGGAAAGAGGTGAGGCCTACTGGGAGTGCGCCGTGCTCTACCCCTGCATGCTCTTCTACTTGGGTGGCTTGGCAGGTGTACATCGACAACCTCGACCTCCTGGAGATCGCCGACGAAGTGGCGCTGACAGCCCGTCAGAGCGCAGGGCCCCCCGAGGTCGTGCACTTGGCCAGGGCACAGCGCGGCGTCCGCGGAGTTCCTCGCAGCGAGGGCAAGTCCGTGAGCCGCGTTTTGAAGAGCCAGGCCTTGGGCGAGTTCGTGGATGGCGAGCTGGGCACGTTCGCCCCCCCCCCCCAAAAAAAAAAGGATTTCACTTACACTCTGGCGTGCCCCAGCCTCTACACGCTGGACCGCGAGAAGGTGACGCAGAGGTGGTTGCTAGGGCTGGCAGGCCGCTGGGTGCGAGCCATGGTGTTCCGACGTGAGGCGACGTCCGCCATCGATTATTTGTGGCGGGTCGTGGCGCGCTGGAGAGGTGAGCGGCGCCTGCCTGGCTGCGTCTTCAGGGAGATTGTGATCACGCTGGGCCTCTTACCACTCATGAGGCGTGACCTGCGGACCCCCTCAGCCGCGTGGCGACGGTGTCGGGTGCCAGTGCGCAGGAGGGGACCGCGTGCAGAGCTGCGCGACTCCTTCATCATGGGGTCGCGGCCGCGCGAGCAGCTCGGGCTAGGCGCGGTGGCAGACGGCGGGATGAGGGCGTGCTGATCTCTCTGTTCGACGCATAGGTGAGATCAGGCGAGCTCTTGACATGATGGGCTTGAGCGTCTCGGTGCACGCCGCAGTCGAGACCGATGCGGAGGCGAGCCGCGAGGTGCGGCGCGCGTGGCCTGATGTGAGGGAGCTCGGCGACGTGCAGCTGCTGGTGGGGAAGGACGCGAGGGGGGTCCGAGATCGTGCTCCACTCGCTCGCTGGGTCGCCCTCAGCGCGGGGGGGCCACGCGCCGACCTGACCCGCCTCAGCGCGCGTGGACAGGCGCGGGCGGCAAGGCAGGCGGTCCGGCTTCTTCTTCGTGATCTTGCGGGTGCAGGCCTTGATGCGTCGGGCTTCTCCTGAGGAGGTGCAGCTGTTCAACCTGATCGAGAATGCGTCTTCCATGGAGGCCACGGACAGGCAAGCTATGTCGCAGGCGCTGGGGCTGCAGCCGGTGGTCATCGATGTGGCCGACATCTCGCCCGCTCGGCGAGAGAGGCTGTACTGGTGGGGCTGGGATCCGCTGAGTCAATGGCAGGGCGTCGCTGACGAGCTGCAGGAGGTTGAGGGTCGTGATCCCAGTTGGCGCGGGCGGCTTCAAGCGATGGCTTCGTGAAGGTCGTCACTGGTGTGGCATAGGCCGCGAGAAGTAGAGGCTGCCGACCTTCGCCCGCGGCACCCCGAGGACGCGCGCTGGGTCCAGGCCCAAGGGTCTGTCTGCATCAGTGCTCGCAGGGGGAGTTGGCGCGGTGGCGCACTCACGAGTACTGCTATGCCCCGCACCAGCTCCGAGCTGCTCCTTGCTTGCGCTGGAATGACGGCGACCTGGTGCCGGCGGATCCTTTCGAGCAGGAGATGCTGATGGATTGCCCCCATGGTCGCACGGCGACGGCCATGGCAACTCGGTTCCGCAAGTCTTGCGAGCTGGAGGTGGTCCGTTGCGGCTTACTAGGCGACTCCTTGCAGTGTGCAGCGGTGGCTTGGATCTTAGGGCACTGGGCGCACTGCCAGAAGAACCTCGACGACGTCCCGAGCGTTGTGCAGCTGCGGCAGCAGGGTGGCGGCTTCGACGCGTCCGAGGGCGTGGTGAGGATGGCGGCAATCTATGACGAGGGTGTGCTGGTTGGCCACAAGGTTCGTTGTGGCCGCGAAGCCCAGCAGGACATATGCGCGCAGATGGTCGAGGAGATGGTCAGACGCGCTGAAGTTCGAGGTCCAGGCGTTCGACTGCATTCGCTGGAGGCGATGCGCCCCGACATGTGGCCTCGGGGGCCTATCAGCGTGGCGCGCTCGCTGAGCGTGGGAGACGGTTCTGGTGTGGCGCTGGAGAAGGAAGATCCACATCACTGCGCTGGAAGTTCTTCATACGCTGGCTGCTCTACGTTGGAGGCTCCGTGTGTGCCGTCATCCGAATACGAGGTCTGCCCATCGCATGATTTCACAAGTGGTGTGATACCAAGAGGGGGCTCTTATTCCCATGTTCTCAATGCTGCTGACAGTGGACATCGGCTTTGGTTCTGGCATCTTCAGCGCGACCAATCTACGGGTACTCCGAGACCAACGAGATTCCTGCCGACGACTCCTCCACGGGAGGCGGCATCACCTTGGCCGATCATGCCGCGTCGGAGGTGCATTGCCCATGCGCGGGATTTGGTGGCCCGTGTTCGGGCGCACAGAGCGATTGGGAAGTCATCGCACACCTTGGCACAGCCTCGTACCTTGCGACGATGATATTACTGGATGGTTATGGCTTTTACGTCTGGGGTGGAGTCTCAGATTGCGCCAGTGGAGTCTGACGCTGAACCACGTGACCTTCCATTTTGTGAATGGATTAAGGCGTTGTGGCCCGCTGGTAGGCCAGCGGGCGATGCAGGTTCTACCATTTCAGGTGTGCAGTTCGTCTTGCGGCGCGAACGCATTCTGCGCAGTTCTTGGATTCGCCCCAAAGCCTGGCAGAGGGCGAAGACTTCCCAACGTGCGTGCCACGCCGATACCGGAATATGTGTAGTTGGCTTTGATAAGTGCGGCGCGTTCGTGGTCTCGCAATGTCGCGGCACGGCTCTTAGTTGTGGGATACGCGGCTCTCCTTCAGCTCTCCTTCACACGATGGAGCTGCCAAGCCTGCGCCGATGGCGGCTTCAGTTCGCCAATGATGGGCTCAGTATGGCGATTGCGATGCCAGTGACGAGGTCGGGAATTCGTCGTCACCGTGAGAACCGGTGGCGCTCCACGACCCGCGGGTGGCCAGGTTCGCGCGGCACTTCTTCGACAAGTTGCCGCACGGCGTGCGATCCTGAGACCCTCGGTGGAGGACGTCAGGCGGGTCTTCAGAAGCTCGTCTCCAGCCTCGAGCTTGAGCGCCACCAGGGCGGGCCGTACTCGCTGCGGCGCGGTGGCGCGACGTGGCACTACCGGCGCCACAACAACATGCGCCACGCGCTCATCATGGGCGGGTGGCAAGATAATGAGGAGGCGGGGCTGTACATCTCGGACGGGCTGCAGAGCATGCAGCAGAATTCGTTGGACCCGGTGGAGCTGGATCGCTTCCGCCGCCTGGCGGCGGCCCTCGATCATGATGCGGTTTGAAAAGAGAGAGAGAGAGAGAGAAAAAAAAAAAAAAAAAAAAAAAAAAAAAAAAAAAAACGAGAGAGAGAGAGAGAGAGAGAGAGCAAGAGCAAAGAAGGCAGCACTGCCACAATTCACAGTTTCGCTGTCAGCATTTTCCTGTCCCCCCCCTCCCTTGGGTCGGAGACGGTAAACCAGAGTGGGGTGCATGGAAGGGGGGAGGTTCCCTTGGGGAGGGTTCGGACTCGTGATCGCGCCGCCGCTCCCTTTAAAGGGTCCGGAGTCGTGTTCGCGCTGCCGCCTTCTCCTCAGAGGTTCGATCTCGTGTTCGCGCTGCCGCTCCTGGGGTCCAATCCGGGGGTTCGGACTCGCGTTCGCGCTGCCGCCCCTACTTGGCGCGGGGTCCTTCGGGGTCGGGGGGTCTTGCGCTGGCAGCCCCCCCCTGCACGCAAGACTCTGGTAAGGGATGAGACGTAAAAAGAAATGGGACGAGTAGACAGGTTGGAGCTAAATATCATTGAGTTGCTCATGTGATTTATCTCCCCTGGCGCGTCCCTTGGCACGTCCATCCCGTTGCCACCTCCCCCGCAGCCGCGTTGGCCCCTCCCGTCCCTTCCCTGCCAAACTCGAAAGGGGGGAGGCTCCATTGGGGAGGGTTCGGACTCGTGATGGCGCTGCCGCTCCCTTTTAAAGGGTCAGGATTCGTGTTCGCGCTGCCGCCCTCTCTTCAGGGGTTCGGTCACGTGTTCGCGCTGCCGCTCCTGGGGTCCACTCCGGGGTTTTGGACTCGCGTTCGCGCTGCCGCCCCTACTTGGCGCGGGGTCCTTCGGGGTCGGGGGGTCTTGCGCTGGCAGCCCCCCCTTTGCACACAAGACTCCGGTAAGGGATGAGACGTAAAAAGAAATGGGACGAAGAGACAGATTGGAGGTATGTGTGCATACATATATATATATATATACACCGCTAACTTTGTTTTGTCAATGGAGAATCATACGCTTCTATACGTACAAGCATACCTACATACGTACAGAAATACGTACACACGTACGTACTTACAGACAGAGAGACAGACAGACAGACAGACAGACAGACAGGCAGGCAGACAGACAGACAGACAGACAGACGAGCAGGCAGTCAGACAGGCATACAGACATACAGACATACAGACATACAGGCATACGTACATACAGTTATATAAATCTACAAACAGACATACATGCATGCATACGTACATACATACATACATACATGCATACATACATGCATGCATACATACATACATACATGCATGCATGCATGCATGCATACATACATACATATATACGCACACATGCATACATACATACATACATACATACATACATACATACATGCATGCATACATACATACATACATACATACATACATACATACGGGCAGACGGACAGACAGGCATACTGACAGACAGACAGGCTGACAGGCAGACAGACATACAGACATACATACATGCATACTACCGACATTCAGACATACAGACATGCATAAGTACAACCGTACAGACATACAGACATACAGACACAGACACAGACACAGACACAGACACAGACACAGACATACAGACATACGGACATACAGGCATACATACATACGTACATACCTAGTCGTGTCTATATTCACTGCCTCCTTCGGCTTCACATGAGAGTGACCCTTCACCGGCGCGGGGGCCAAGCCTAAGCACGCAGGCCGCCACTGTCGCATCGCATGCAACGACCAGCGAGCCGCGCCGAGCCAAAGGACACCCTTGCATGTAGGGCCATTCCCCCAGACATCAAAAGCCGTTTTTTCTCAGCGTGGCTCCCCGCAGAGGTCTGGACCCCTTCCCTGGGGACCAGCTTTTCATCCCGAGCTGCTTTGTTGACGGCCACGGGGCCGCATGAGGGTTTATGGAGGTTGTAGACAGCAACAAATACTCCATCGTGTTGTTGTTCGCGACGCAGCGATGCCACATTTTCACGTCATAGCGCGGACCTCGGATGGCCGCTTGGGACGATCCGGGCACCCCTGGAACGCTCTCGGCGAAGCGCAGTCGGTGGGAGGCAGCCGCGAGAAGACCTCCCAAGCACCTGCGGCAACGTCAGATTCTGCCACGGCGCAAGGATGTCAGGGCAGGGGAGGGCATTTGCCACAAACAGCGCGTCGTGATTGTTGACACGACGGCAGGATGTCTCCTCCTGCTCCTCCTCATCCTTCTCCTCCTCATCCTCTTCCTCTTCCTCCTCCTCCTCCTCCTCCTTCTCCTCCTCCTTCCCAGCCGCTGACGCATGGGCTATTGCTGCGGGCTGGGCTCGCCATCTTCGACGGGTGCACGCGTGCTTGAGTACCAGGATCACCGAGCGGCAGAGTCCGGCTGAGCGGAACGCTTTTGATGTACTCAAGTTGGCCATCCTTCTCAATGACACGGAGGCCTTTTTTCGACCGCCTGTTGAGGAAGGAGTGGGTGTTCAGAGCCGTTGACCTTGCCGTCCTCCATTTCTTCGAGCAGCGCATGTAGGCGTTGACGGACGGCCATTTTGATAACAATGTCAAGTGGGTCATCAAGCAGGCCCGCAGCAAAGTTCAGTCCTTCGCAACTGAGCGCAACAGGGGTTGGACGGAGTGGGTGACTGCCAGCTTCGTGAATGGAGCCAGCATGGCCCATCGTTGTACGAAGGCCTAGGCGCTGCAGGAAGCGGTGTCCGTCAGGTCCGGCGAGCAGCCCTACCAATTGGCGGACGACTGCCTCGATGGTTGGGCCAAGGTTTGGAAGTCCCAAGGTTGTGCACGCTTGGCGTGCCTTCCAGGAGTTGACCAGTGGCTTCTCCTTCCGGAGATCGGTGTTGCCGAGGGTCGGGCGTATGATCTGAGATGTAAGGGAGGAGCCGCGCTGAGCCCCAGTGTATGAGCCTCCACGAGCCCGTATAAATGGGATACTGTTTCCCCGTCGTTCCCTCCTGTTCCCTCTCCTCCTCCTCCTCCTCCTCCTCCTCCTCCTCCTCCTCCTCCTCCTCCTCCTCCTCCTCCTCCTGCTCCCCCTCCTTATCCTCGTCCTCCTCCTCCTCCTCCTCCTCCTCCTCCTCCTCCTCCTCCTCCTCCTCCTCCTCCTTCTCTCCTCCTCCTCCTCCTCCCCCTCCTCCTCCTCCTCCTCCTCCTCCTCCTCCTCCTCCCTCCTCCTCCTCCTCCTCCCCCCTCCTTCTCTCCTCCTCCTCCTCCTCCTCCTCCTCCTCCTCCTCCCCCTCCTCCTCCTCCTCCTCCTCCTCCTTCCTCCTCCTCTTCCTCCTCCTCCTCCTCCTCCTCCTCCTCCTCCACCTCCTCGGAGGAGGAGGAGGAGGGGTACGTAGCACCCCGCCGCCCCCTCACTCTTACCCGCCGCCAAGGGGTGCTGCGTACCCTTCTCCGTCCCCCTAAAATCTTTGGCCACATCGATCGATTCTGCAGTCGATCCTCGGGGAACAAAGAGTGGCATTAACATGCAAACTCGGAGGTCCGCGCGGATTTCTCGGATCGGCGATGGGGCCCCCTGGCGGCGCCTCCGGCGCCGCCCCTGGCGCGCTCCGCGCGCCAGGCAGAGGGGTCCTGCGCGGATTCAAGAAATCCGCCCTGGACCTCCGAGTCTTTATGCTTGTGTCATGTTTCGTTCCCTTAGCTGTACCGCATGTGGCCGTCGGCCAGGATCTCGATGGAGCTCGTGCGGCTGCAAAAGCCAGACAAGCCAGGCCAGCACCGTGTCATTGCCCCTGCTGCATACGCT